AAGCAGAATGCAGGTCACAGGCTTGAGCATGAAAAAAGCACATGGAGCAGATAGTCTGCTAGGATTCCATTGTCACAAACAGCTGGACGTGCATATGGCCCACAGGTCTGGAAAAAGCGTGTCGACCGTTGACACCCAGGAATGCTGCTGATGATTTCCGCTAGAGAAATGTGACTGGTAGAGGCACGTGTCTGAGTAGCAATATCTACAGAGACGGTCTGCCCCAGAAACAAAACCGCTCACGGCCCATGTTTTCACCCGACGTGACTGCAGTTCTCTCCGGCTGCCGCTTCGCACACGTGCGATCCACAGACGCCATGCTGCGACAGCACTGCAAAAAAAAGGAATGGAAGCTGGAAGAAGGGGTGGAAAAGAGGTAGATGTGATGTGGGAACATGGCCGCTGCAAATGATGGAATGGGAAGGACCTGCATGGGGGTAATGTCTCAAAGCTGCTGTTGCTGCTGCGCGCGACAGTATGCAATTACTATAGGCGGGACCGCAGCGGGACCGCGGCGGGACCGCAAAATGTGGGAATTCCCACGATTCCAGGTTGCAGGCGGGACCGGTCCCGCCGTCGGCGGGACCACTTTACCTGTGAATTTATAGGAGCGGGACCGCATACCCCGTTTGGGAATTATAATAATATACCAGGGGGGGTCAGGTGATGTTTTGGAGGTGGGGTGTGGGAAGATTCTTGGGGAGGTGATGTTTTGGAGGTGGGGTGTGGGAAGATTCTTGGGGAGATATCTTGTCTATCTAGCGTTGTATCCCTGGATGTCTTCTAAATGGGGTCTCTGGACCGCGCATGTCTTCCAAGCGCTTTGTCTTCGACATGGCGCTTGCAAGTCTGCGGTTTCCAGCTTTCACTCCTGCCGCGCTATGCCTTTGGCATTGGGATTTTCAGCCTTGACATGGTCTCATTCCAAGCGCTCTATGTCTTGACCATGGCGCTTGCAAGTCTGCGGTTGCCAGCTTTCCCTCCTAGTGTCCATGCCTTTGGCATGGTGCTTTCGAACCTTCACATGGCCGCTCTCACTCCAAGCGCTCTATGTCTTTGGCATGGCGCTTTCCACATAGTGCACGGCTTGACTCTACTCATGCGGGCTTGCCATTGGATGCATGCGACGTGCCAGCAGCCACGTCAAATCACTCACATCCAGCTTTCCTGCTTGTCGTAGAAGACGTCTTCGTTTCCTTTCCTGCAGGCTATGGAGTACATGTCTTTCAACATGGGTTCAGCGTTCACATGTCCCACCTGCACTCACGAAAAGACACCGTATCCATGCATTTACATGCACTCTCCTGGTTCTGTAGTTCTTTGGTGGCTGCTGCTAACTGGCGTTTCAAATTTTTGCGCTCTTCCTTCAGCACAGCAACCCTATCAGCCGCGGCCGGTGGGGCTGCAGCTGCCGCGGCGTTTGCATCAGCAGCGGACATGGCACTCAAGGCGGGCGAACAACAGGCTTGCTCCACTCAAACTGCATGCAGTCCTCAAGATGATCCTGTGTTCTCTTTGTGCTTGCCTGGTACCTCCTTTTCACCCCTGTTCACGACCCCAGAAACATGGCTACGAGAATGTGACAAAATGGTCATGCACCGATGTACCCTGATAGTATACATATATATATATATATATTTAATATTAATGTATGTATATATGTATATATATATACATATATATTACTGGCTACGATGATATTACGCTACATTATTACATCACATTACGTCTATACAATTCCATATCAATATAGTGATAGAGAGCGAGAGAGATAAAAAAGGGAACGGATAATGTGTATGTATATATTATGAAAATACAATATAGGACAAATATGACTGGATCAAACATGAAATCCTTCCCTGCCTGAACAAATGCGCCAGCTCCGGCTGCTGTGTTGGGTCCACCTCTGACTCCGTGGTCATCGCCCGCGGTTTCAGAATCAGAGGTTTGGCTCCTGGCGACTGCACCAGTCACCACCGGACCCATGGGGTCACCACCGGTCACCACGGCACCTCCCAGTGGTTCACCAACACGAAGGCACACGTCGCAATGAGTCATGAAGGCATACATATAGAGCCTCAAATCGAAACGTCGGATTTGTCTGAAGATGTTTGAACACATTCCCATGCCCATTTCCACCTTAAAACAGAGCGATCTACTGCTCGGTCTACTGCTCGCGGACTCATCACTTTTCAAGTTTTGAGGTAACTGCCTGTAGTGCCGAAAGAAGGAATTCGTGGCATACCTCGCAGGGATATATCAGAATCCTGCAGAAACTCCAAACATGTCAACACTCCAAAATGTTGGTGATCATCTATCATAATATATCATAATATATCATAATATATCATAATATATCATAATATATCATAATCAATAATCCATAATGCCCCATAAATCTAAACCTGCGAAAAACTGAACATGTATATATATATATAATATATGCCAGGGTAACATCTAATGATCGTTGTGGTGTTGGCAGTCCATGTCCCACCGAGCGCAGGGGTGTCACTCGACAATGGACTTGACATCGTCAAAGGAGAAAATGCCCACACTGCGGGGCCTTGCAATAGTCAAAATTCGGTGGCAAAAACTAGTGGATTTCCAGTTGTCTAAAGATATACAACAGGGCAAGTCTGAAAAAAACTAGAGTACCTGAGTACCATATGAAAAATTAACTTGGAATTCTACTACAATGAACATTAATTTGAAATTGTGATTTTTGTGTTTAATTGTCGCGCGACAGTGGAAGGGTAACTATCAAAGACTGCCATGAAAAATTGGATGCAAATGACACAACTCAAAAAATGGACACAACATGACGCAACCACAAAAAATAAACTGCATCAAACCAAGTCTTTGCCAATGGCAGCTAAGGCTGTTTCGGCCGCTCCACAGCATGCTTCAGAAGCCAATCCTCGTGCAATCAAACCAAGCAGAACAAGAGCAACAACAAGCCAGTTGCTCCAGAGATTGTAGTGTGTGGTGTGTACAAGCATGCTACTAACTTGATAACCATGCGAAGTGTTTCTGCCTAAAAGACTTGCCTCAAAAAGTACTTTCATTAATGGATAGGGCAATGAAATCTAGCTGTTTTTATCCATGTGCCAGCCTTTGAAACAGCTGCAGTTGGCATCCCATGTGCTATACCAGAAAAATCACACAAAAGGTCATCCGAGCAACGTTCACGAGACCTTTCAATGGGGTAAAGACCTCAACAACATGATTTTCATATTGTTTTTCCATGATATGTGCAACTGCTACTTCCATCCATTTGGAATCCACTCTCATATTCTCGCAGAAAAAGCAAGCATTTTTTCTTTGAGGGGTCATGTGTGGAGGCCGAAAGGAAAGTGTCAACGACGCTTGGGTCTGGGCTCAAAACGGGGGTTACCAACGGACCAGCAAGAATTTGTTCTGTTTGCTTTGAGAGGGGGATGTGTAGGAAAGAACCATATTCTTTAGTAAAATATCCCATTTTGCGATAGTTTCACCCAATTGTGTTTAAAAGAATTCTGCGTTTCTTGGTTTTTCCATGCGCAGTGTCCTGAAACAACTGAAATGAATCTTCCGGCTCCAAGCGGAGTCGCACCGAATCCTGGCAAATCCATCCGACTTCTGTGATCCACTGGATAGAATTGGTGCAAAGAGCTCTACTTTTGATCTCTTGTTGACCGTCAAAAAGGAAATATGATGAAAATTGATGAAATATATGTGTTTCTGCAAAACAAAAACTGCTTTCAAAGCGCGCCTCCAGCAAGATCTTCATGATTGACAACAACGTGGATGTTTTTTCCGGCGGAAAGGAATTTGACCTGCCAAATATTGCCAAATGATATATATATATATAATATATATACATACTTTTTCCTCAGCTGCAAAAATGTCTGCCATTGTCGGACTTCACAGCTTTGCATATCTTCAAACAGCTTATTAGCCAATGATTTCCTTTTGGAAAATTGAGGAGGGGCATTCTTCAATGGGAATTTCAGGATCCTAAAATGGAGGTACTGTAAATATAAGACCATATTTTGTGGGGATATTCCCTTACATAGGCCTTATATAAGCCTTATTTATGGTAGGTACCTCCAATCAATCGGATCCTGAAACGGCCATCTGTTCATCAACCAGGAGGATCAGCACAGCGAAACTCTTTCAAAGGCGACTGGGCGCGTCACAAAGTAGGCCATTGGCCGACTAAAACGCGGGCAGCTGGCCGCTGGTGAATCATTGCGTCAGCTATCCTGCTACCCTGAAAATGGGTCCACCATTCTTCGCAGAAGACTAAGCGATTTCGCTTCCGGTGGGTGAGACTTTCCTTTTGAGACATCCCGCCTGTTGCGGTATTTCTGGATGCGATTCGGAACACTTGAACACTTGTCAGATGTTACAACTGCTGATGAACATGGCCTAAAAACGGGGCTGAAAAGTTCGCAAAGTTGCTTTTCTTTGTGCCCAAGTCTCACCTCAAATAATCACGACCTCAGAAGATATTGTTGGCAGCGGCTTGAAAATTGCACCATTTGAAACTTCACTACCCTCGTCTGTTGCCAGGGGGGGTGGAACCCCTAAAAAAATAAAATAAAATGGAGGGGCCTAAGGAAAAAATGCCAATAAATTGTGATTTCAAGTCCACAGACAGCATTTTTCACACTGTGCCCAGGATGACTTCCTGGAAGGGAAACCAGTTGGCTGCTCGGTTCACCTGGTAAATCATTGGATTTTCCATCGTGGATAGATGTGGATAGAAAAAATAAAAAACGAGTTGGTGAAATCATGAAATCTGGTTCAAAAATCTGGATGCGACCAAACATCAAACATCGAGATATATCGAGATCTATGTCCTCACCCAGTCTCCCAGCCTCACGACGAACCTAGACGGGCCCGAGGATTGGCAGCTCCTGCGACCACAGATAGGTTTTGGGCGGTGGTATGTCAATCCTGAAGCCTTTAGAACAACCCATTTTTAAATCATTTTTTTGGGGGCAAGAGTCCGACATTCATTTCAATTGGGTCCAATTCTCCACATCGTCCCCATCAGTACACATGGCACAAGGGCCTCTACGAGGACTGTCCCCACCAGTTCCTAAGATGGCAGCAGCTAGGCCCCAAAACTTGCGGGTTTGGAATCTTAACTTTTTCGCAAACGACGTAGCTGTAGTTCTGGAAGGTGAAAGCCAATAGGTAAAAAATGGCAAGTTGTCTTTGACTAGGCAAGTTGCTGGCTCCATAGCGGAGATATCGACGGACATCTGCTGTTGGACCATAAAACTTCGTCAAACCGGTGTTTTTTGTTTTTTTGCCTCTTTCAGCCTCTTTCCCTAATATTCAATACCCAATGGGCCCAATGAAACCCAGCTTTTGTTTATTGGATCTATTCATGGGAATCCAGTTTAGGGGATTTTCGATCGGGAAAAAGATCACCGAGTTGCTGCTCGGTCTCCGACCACCTGAGCGAGATTGACCACCGGAAACCATCTGAAATCGAATGAGGTTCAGATTTTTTACCCATGATAAGTAGAATCATTAGATTATTGACTTTATATGACTTTATATTCCAGAAATATCGTTTGGATTTCGGTTTGGGCACTTTCTGATATGGGGTATTCTCATCGGATTTCCAAAAAGTTCACTGCAGTTATCTCACATGTGCTGGATTGAAGAGCGACAAACAGAACTCATTTGTGCTAAATTCATCGGAAAATCTCACAGAATGGTACCCTAACAGTTTCCCACTCAGTTCCAGAAGGAAGATTTGCAGGAACCCAAAAAAATGGAAGCGTAATGTATCAGAAAATCCTTTTTCTGTTTCCTGCCACCAGAAAATACAACCCGGGCCCCTTGACTAGTTTGGTCCTTTAACCATTCTTGTTGGTTGCTTAACCCCGCCTGTTCAGTGTTGCTCTTAGCACCCCAAAATACCGGGTGAAGAGACAACATCACCTATTCATACCTATTCCACTTCTTGTCGTAATCATTTACTTTGGGAAACCCATGGAAACCCTGAAAATGGTTGTGAAAATTATTCAAAATCCAGGGATTCTCATTGTTCAACCATGTTCAAGCAACATTTTTGAAGGCTCAAAACCTCCATTGTTCAACCAGCTGCGGATCTGTGGATCCCGGCCGATACGAACTCCCCTTGAGCCACGGGAGCCCTGAGATTCTTGGGAGCCACGGGAGCTGTTGCTCAATCTCCTTCGCATGGCTCGAAGGGTCGAAGGGGGGAACGAAATACAGTACCTGGTGTTTGCTCGAAGGAGGCAAGGGGTCGTGTTCCAAGGCGAGAGATTCACGGCTGCAGTGGAGATTCACATCATTTTTCCGCATTCCCATTGATCTTTTCTGATGTTTTTTTGTAATGAACATCATATATTTGATATTGAGAACTACTCCATGTCAGCTCTGGGGCTTTACATCTGCATGAGGCGCGCAACGAAAATAACGAAGTGTGTGGGATGAAGTGTGGTATAGTGTGGTTTCAAGGCTTGAAAGGGTAGATGCCTCAGGACTCGCGTTAGACTGTCATGAGCAAAGTGCTGGGAATTGGAGGGTTTCCTGAATTGAAACTTGCTAGTCATGTTAAAGGAAATATGCACACCATATGCACAGCAAAAATGGATGGTTCCGTGCTATTGCTGCTGATTTGCTGATGATTCCCTGTTGGGCCCATGGCGGGTCTGAGCTGATTCCAAACCATGTGGGTGCGTTTGTTGGGCGAATGCAAGGGAATATCTAGGCAATGTTGGGTCTTCTTGGTTGTATCTTGCGGGGAGCTCAAACCTATCTGAAGCCTTCTCTACTGCTGCGGAGTTTTCGCAATGCTGATGTGCAGTGTGATCTCATTTTGATGACGGTTTGAAGGCTTAAATGCACACAGAACTTGGGACGAACGTGGAAAGGAAGTTTTTGGGATACTTATGGCGAAATTGGGATAACTTGGGCCCATCTTGGGCGCATGTTGGGCCTAGGTTGGGGCTATACAATCTATACAGTCTGTTTGTGAAGCATGCAATTGATATATGTATATATGATTATATGTATGTATATATGTGTATATCATTGTATATCAACCCCCGGACCCCCTAAACTCGCTTCGCTACAAGAACTTCAGCCAGGCCTACCGGCTGGTTTTCGTAAGTACCAAGGTTTTAATGGCTTTTAGTAGGCGTTAACCAATAATATCTATATAATATATCCGAATAATCCTAATACCATTATCAGATATTATCAGTATTACCAATGGTAAAATGTGAATGGACGACCGTTAACAGAAAGCTTTAAACCGACATAAACCAACCAAATTTGGTGAAATCTGACGTAACCAGTATAATCAGGAGATGACTGGGTTGATGGATCAAGACGTTCTAGTCTGAGATGGCAACAAAGAATAGTAGAACATAGTAGAACTGATGGATATATATGGATATGGGGTCTCTAAAAAACATGTCCCAAAAAAGAAATTCTGCAATGGTTTCGAAAATCACCAGCCTTCGGTCCAGACAGGTATCGTGGCAACTCTGAACTTGGTTTCCCCACAGCATGGAGGGGTGTGACTCAATGTTTTCAGGGGATACAATCTAATATAACATATATAACTTCCATCACATTGCCATCATTCACCAAAAATGGCATTTTCAGTGAGTTTTACCATGATTTCCCATTAAAATCGACTGAAAATGATGAATTCGAATGATTTCGGCACCGGCTCCTGGTGAATTCGAGTTCTCCAGGGTCCGAAGACTGAGCCTCGCCACTTTCCATGGCTCGCCGCCTTGCCTGACAGAAATCTCTGCATGATCGATGTATTTAAAAAAATAAATAAAAATAGTATGTCTACACCTAATGTCAACTAATATCAACTAATATCAATTAATATCAATTAAAGTCAATTAATATCACTTCATATCACTTCGTATCACTTAATATCACTTCATATATCATAATATCAGTTAATATGTGTGCAGTGTGCAGTGTGCATGATTGTATGTGTATCTATATATCTTATATGCGTATATTGACATGTGTATATATATATATAACATGTATTATATGCGTGATCAGGTGTGTGTGATCTTCATCATATAATGAAGTGATTTCTATGTGCCTCACCATCTTGTTGATATTATTTTGCTTGCATGACAATCTTTAAAGTGGGAGTGATCAAGCACTCTGAAAATGTCGGGTTTCCCTTGGCACCTCTGCTCTCTGCTTTTTCACAGACCGTAGAACTTGAGGACGCACCACGAGCAAGTCATCCAACTGCTTCGGATCTGACAGGGCATAGGACATGGATTGGTGTGTGATGTTGCCAGAAGCACAGCTTCCGCAATTACTCAGTCACTGCATCACTGCGTGCCCACTGCCCACTGCGTACCTTCCTTCCTGCGTGGCTTGCCTTTGGTGATCAGAAGCACTGCGCCATCATTTCCATGGCCCTGCAGTCGATATCAGTCGATAGTCCGTAGGTAGCCATGAGACATCCAGCGAACTTCCCGGGCCTCGTAGTCGCGCGCAGAAAACACACGGATTAACCTGCCAGTCTGCACAGATGAGACAGCTATGTGGATCATCTGGGTTGAGAATGGTGAAGAATTGCGCCTGTTTATGGTTATTTTGATGAATAAAATATGACAAAATGTAAATTGAGCATAAAAAAACAGTTACACATATGTATAAATCCGCCGACCCCTGCCGCCAGCAGGGGGAGCGCGTTAGAGGAGGACTGACTAGGGGCTGTCGCCCGCAAGCCCGGCCCGTCCTTCAGGACCGTCCTTTTTGAGACTGGCGAAGGCGCCGTTTTCGAATGTTTGTGACGGCCGGAAAGGGCGCGTTTTTGAAGGTTTGACGGCTGGAAGAGAGCTTGTTTTCTTGTAGGTTCAGAAAGCAACGTTAGGCAGTGGGAGCCGTTGCCCGGAGGCTCGGTCCGTCCTTCAGGGCCCTGCTGTTTGGGCGTGGCGGAGGCGCCGTTTGTGAGCCTTGACGGCTGGAAGAGAGCTAGTTGGGAGCCGTTGCCCGGAGGCTCGGTCCGTCCTTCAGGGCCCTGCTGTTTTGCTGTGGCGAGGGCGCCGTTTGTGAGCCTTGACGGCTGGAAGAGAGCTAGTTTTCTTGTAGGTTCAGAAAGCAACGTTAGGCAGTGGGAGCCGTTGCCCGGAGGCTTGGTCCGTCCTTCAGGGCCCTGCTGTTTTGCTGTGGCGAGGGCGCCGTTTGTGAGCCTTGACGGCTGGAAGAGAGCTAGTTTTCTTGCAGGTTCAGAAAGCAACGTTAGGCAGTGGGAGCTGTTGCCCGGAGGCTCGGTCCGTCCTTCAGGGCCCTGCTGTTTTGCTGTGGCGAGGGCGCCGTTTGTGAACCTTGACGGCGCGTTTTTGAAGGTTTGACGGCTGGAAGAGAGCTTGTTTTCTTGTAGGTTCAGAAAGCAACGTTAGGCAGTGGGAGCCGTTGCCCGGAGGCTCGGTCCGTCCTTCAGGGCCCTGCTGTTTTGCTGTGGCGAGGGCGCCGTTTGTGAGCCTTGACGACTGGAAGAGAGCTAGTTTGGGAGCCGTTGCCCGGAGGCTCGGTCCGTCCTTCAGGGCCCTGCTGTTTTGCTGTGGCGAGGGCGCCGTTTGTGAGCCTTGACAGCTGGAAGAGAGCTAGTTTTCTTGCAGGCTCAGAAAGCAACGTTAGATACGTTAGGCAGTGGGAGCCGTTGCCCGGAGGCTCGGTCCGTCCTTCAGGGCCCTGCTGTTTTGCTGTGGCGAGGGCGTCGTTTGTGAGCCTTGACGGCTGGAAGAGAGCTATAGCTATAGTTTTCTTGTAGGTTCAGAAAGCAACGTTAGGCACTGGGGGCCGTTGCCCGGAGGCTCGGTCCGTCCTTCAGGGCCCTGCTGTTTTGCTGTGGCGAGGGCGCCGTTTGTGAGCCTTGACGGCTGGAAGAGGGCTAGTTTGGGAGCCGTTGCCCGGAGGCTCGGTCCGTCCTTCAGGGCCCTGCTGTTTTGCTGTGGCGAGGGCGCCGTTTGTGAGCCTTGACGGCTGGAAGAGAGCTAGTTTTCTTGTAGGTTCAGAAAGCAACGTTAGGCAGTGGGAGCCGTTGCCCGGAGGCTCGGTCCGTCCTTCAGGGCCCTGCTGTTTTGCTGTAACGAGGGCGCCGTTTGTGCGCCTTGACGGCTGGAAGAGAGCTAGTTTTCTTGTAGGTTCAGAAAGCAACGTTAGGCAGTGGGAGCCGTTGCCCGGAGGCTCGGTCCGTCCTTCAGGGCCCTGCTGTTTTGCTGTGGCGAGGGCGCCGTTTGTGAGCCTTGACGGCTGGAAGAGAGCTAGTTTTCTTGTAGGTTCAGAAAGCAACGTTAGGCAGTGGGAGCCGTTGCCCGGAGGCTCGGTCCGTCCTTCAGGGCCCTGCTGTTTGGCGTGGCGGAGGCGCCGTTTGTGAGCCTTGACGGCTGGAAGAGAGCTAGTTTGGGAGCCGTTGCCCGGAGGCTCGGTCCGTCCTTCAGGGCCCTGCTGTTTTGCTGTGGCGAGGGCGCCGTTTGTGAGCCTTGACAGCTGGAAGAAAGCTAGTTTTCTTGCAGGTTCAGAAAGCAACGTTAGGCAGTGGGAGCCGTTGCCCGGAGGCTCGGTCCGTCCTTCAGGGCCCTGCTGTTTTGCTGTGGCGAGGGCGTCGTTTGTGAGCCTTGACGGCTGGAAGAGAGCTATAGCTATAGTTTTCTTGTAGGTTCAGAAAGCAACGTTAGGCACTGGGGGCCGTTGCCCGGAGGCTCGGTCCGTCCTTCAGGGCCCTGCTGTTTTGCTGTGGCGAGGGCGCCGTTTGTGAGCGTTGACAGCTGGAAGAGAGCTAGTTTTCTTGCAGGTTCAGAAAGCAACGTTAGGCAGTGGGAGCCGTTGCCCGGAGGGTTCCATCAACTATGCACGTGCCAGTGGTTGGTGGAACACTGCTTTCCGTTGGGAGTGCGATGAGTTACTTGAATTCGGCCGGAAGCTTTTGTTGAATGCACCACCGCGCTGCATGTCGGACACGTGTGCGTATGCGTGCGACCTGCAAGCAAGCCATTTGCAACGCGAAATTTGTGGCCGCAACCATCACCTCGGCGGTGATCGATTTGTCCTGTTGCCACTTTGCTTTGCACAGATTTGGCGCAGTGTGGGCAGATGTATGTGTACAGTTGTGGCGTAACCGTGTCAGGCCCGACAGCAAGCTGCTGGTTCGATGAGTGGGCAGTGTCCGTTTTGGGAGCTTCTGCTCGCGTGGAAGTTTGTCTTGCTTCGTGTATTTCCTGAATTTCCTTGCGAACGTCCTCTAGGATTGCTGCGTGACGGTGGCGGGTTTCGCGTTGGCGCAAGCGGGCCAGGCGTTGATTCGTGCGATGAGCAAGACGGCAAACGAAGGCAAAGGCTGTGCATGCGTTGCATACTTGTGTGCCGTCTTGAGTATATTCACGCTACCCTGCCTGGGGTCGGCGGCAGGGGGCATAGCCCCTTAATATAAATGGTGATCATATGTATAAATATAAATGGTGATTTTTGATGAACACAATTTCTTCTGTCCATGAAGTTCCACGACCATGGGATCCATCTGAGGTGCTCACATATTGCTGTGCATCACATCGAAGCCACCTCAGTGACTAGCTAGCGGAGACGGTTTTTTTTGGGGTGGGGTAGGGGGGTCAATAATAATAACGTTATAATTTTGGGATATTATAATAATAACGTTCAATAATAATAGTAATAATAATAATCACCATCCCAAAATTATTATGATTATTATTATTATTACTATGTCACCCACCAAGATAATTTTTTGTTACAATAATGTTATAATTAATGGTGTCAAGTCAATAATTATGGTGGGGTAGAATCACCATCGCAAAATGTTTGACACCGTTGACATTATATAAATTCTTCACCAAGGTGCGGCTTCCTTTCTTGGATTGATGGCTTCGAATGACCAAGCCGAGGCCTTGGCTGCTCCAAAAATACCACGTGGCTTCTGTGGTTAAAACAAATGGGGATCTTGGGTGGATCCGCAACTGAACATGATATATACACGTTATAGTTATTTATAGTATAATATATGTAATCTATAATATATTCTTCTATAATTATATACATATACGTATATATATATATATTATGCTTATCCAAGTACAGGATGTACAGGTTACCCACCAATTAGCTTTTCGTGTTTCACATTCGACAAGGCAAAGTTCGACATGTGAAACGCTGTTCCAGGACTCGGCACCGTTTCGTGCACAAAACGTCTTGGTGATGTTCCAGGCCTGGGCCGATGCAACCAATGATAGATGATATAGAATGAAACCTTTATTATATATATATACATATATCATATATATATATATCATATTATATATGACGGGGTGTGTGATGTATCATTATGTATAATTTCATGGTGGGATGTATATTAACGAGGGGATAGAATAGGATATCATGATATATCATGATAATGGGATATAATGGGATATAGAATGGGAATATCAACTGGGATGAAAAATCAGGTTACTATGTCGTTTTAGGTTTCCAAACTGATCAAACTCGCTGGAAAGTATGCAGAAATGCAGCACTTCTGGCGGTGCAGCTTGGGCCGCCCTGCGAATTGCGCAGTGACACCTCCTCTTGGAGACGGATGAACACCTGGGAGTTAGATCCTCTGGCACAACTTGAGGCCCAGGGAGGGGTAAGGGAGGCATGACACAATGATGCAGGGAGCTCGGGATGCGGATGATGCTGAATTTGCTGCCGGTGGCCACATGCCGACGGTGTCCCGTCGGCCAAAGTGCTTGTAAACCAGCCAGCTGGACTGGGGGAAGGGGGGGTAGTTAAGTATGAAGTTTCATGCGATTGGAGTTTCCAGCCCCCCCAATACCTTGCCATTTGGCAAGAGGGACTTCAGCTAGCAGAAGCGAGCTTTCGTGATCTGCATCAATCTTGTCATATCTTGTCAGATATTTCTCCGGACATCCTGAAGGGATCAAGAATCACCTGAATCACCTGAATCAACATTGAATCAACCTCATTTTTTCAAAGTTTTAAAGGTTCGAACAAGTAGACTATGCAGCAACATCAACCCAACAGCGCGACTGCTGAGAGGCCGAATGTATTTGGGTCTGCATGTGCTCCATCTTCGATGGGGTCGGACCACAGGATATTGAAAAGCCTGGCTGTCCGTGGAATACCTACATCTACCGCGCCAATACCCCGAGCATCGTGGATCTCATGGTTTCATCCACTGGTTTCATGTCATAAGCTGTAATAATACAGCGCAAACATAGTATGATAATGATAATGATAATGTATGAATTACTGTATGATACATTATGATACCCAAAAGTCAATTTTTTCGCCAGACATGCCAGACGTGTCTACAATCTATGCTGTCAATGGGTCAATCTGAGGCAGCAGGACCAACTGTTCTCCTGCAGAAGGCGGAAAAACTATGGGCAAAGCACAATCTTCACGTTTTGAGGCTTCCTAAGTCACGGGGGTACCCCAAATCATCCAAGATCATCCAGTCGTCATGGATGACCATAAAATAGTATTGAAACATATTGAAACCCATGGTGACGACTGGGGATCCACCATTTTAAGAAGCCACCACATCCATCACGACAAGCCGCCAGCCTTTGAAAGTATCTTCTCCGATGGCAACGGCCTTGCCACGTTCCAAATGTCGCTGAGGCCCCACATCCCATCACCTGCGTTGATGGCTGGGGTGCTGAAACTTACATTGGTTGAGACAGAGGTAGAAGTCCCTAGAGATGTTTGATAAATTGCCGCTTTCCCATTTTGTTCTGCCAACTATATGGCCATTTGGAAAGCCTGAACTTGCCACAAGCTTCCAAAAGTCAGCGCACTTTGTGCTGAGCAAAGCAGGCCTATTCCTCCGTGTAGTACCAACGCACGATTCGCAATCAAACACGCCAGAGGCCTCTTGACGGGGTATGGTTTGTCTGTGGGAAGCTGGTCAGAGAAAAAGAACAACCCTGTGTTAAAGGGTCAAAGCATGGCATAGAAGAGGTACATTGCACGATTGCAGATCAACAGGGACAATAACCATGATGGGTGTAAATATGGAAGACTTTGTCGGATTCAATGTTTTGTGTTTGGTTAGAAAACAAACATTCAGGTGCAATCCAAATAATCCAAACAGCTTGAGCCACTGCTCTTACCATGGTTGGCTTGGGTGAAATGCCAAGGCCCCTGCAAGCGATCAAAAGCGCTTTGCATAAGGTCAAACCTGTTGCAACAAGGTGCTTCTCCAAATTAATGATTTGTTGCTCTGCTTGATGTCAAAAGCAGCCCGAACAGTGTTGACATCTGAAGAATTTGCGCACATAGTGGCACATCCCTTTCAAATGAAAATGCACATTCATAAGAAGTCCATAATACCTTCAGATCTGCTTTGAGTCTGTGGCATCTTCTTCCCGAAGTCAGTACCCAGCTTGAGCATGCACTCATCTTGGTGAGCAGCAAAGGTAAGAAATTCTTCCAGGTTGCGCAGTGCTGTTTGATGGACCAACAAAAATAAATAGGTGGGTCTACAACCAATCATACTGCATGAGTCTGCGTGAGTCACTAAGTTTGCGACGTTTAAATCCATACTTCTCATTCATGAGTCTGTCTTCGTGGTTGCCCCTGGCCATGGTGTGAAAGTCTTCACAGTTGCCACAGTTTCCACAGGATTTCCCTCCGCAATCCGAAGTGGCTCCTGATGAGGTAGACCTTTTCCGGGTACAAAACCTCGCTCAGAAACAACGAGATCGACGATATTTTACAGACGATGACAAAAAACATCCCAGGCTTCTCATGAAAGCACAGCTCCAGACCTTTAGAGCCAGCAGCAAACCAACGGTTTCCAGCTGGTGCTGACCACGGTCCTTAGGACATTTTAAGGACTTTCAGCGCAACCCAGCGTTTAGCGCTTTTTTTGCTGCCAGTTCTGAGGTCGCGGCCACAAAGTCACCATTAAAAACAAAGGTGGTTTCATCCCGACCTGATTCAGAAACCGACAAAATGGACCAAAATGGGCTGCAGAAGGTCTGGAAATCTCGAACATTCCAACATAACGAGCTGATTCTTACTTGAAATCGCTGGAAACCTTTCACCATGCTCCCGGGCCAGGCATGCCGAAGGCATGAAAGTAGAGAAGCCTCGGAATGTACCGCAGTCTGAAATGAAACACTGGCAAACAGCTTCAAATAATCGATACTTTCTTACACATTGTACTTGTTGCAGCCTGATCTTTTATGTCTGTTCTACGACTTGCTTCACAGTCTATCCATCGTCAACTTTCAGATGTTTCGTTCATGTTTCCAGTCATTGACACTTTGGACTTTTAGAAAGTAATCCATAGTAATCCCACAGTAATCCCATAGTAATTGGATGTTTCCATGGTATGTTTCCACCTTTTTTCATAGCCACCCCGATGTTTTCATCCCATTGGAGTCGATTCCACTGGGCAAGACGGCAGATCTCGTAGCTGTCCATGGAGATCTCCAAAGACACGACCTGATTGGAGGCCATTGAGGGCTACCGAAGCCAAAAATGTGGCCCTTCTTTTGATATAATATATATATATATGTATGTATATGTGTGTATGTATGTATGTATGTATGTATGTATGTATGTATGTATGTAATTAAGTAAGTATGTATGTATGTATGTAAGTATGTATGTATGTAAGTAAGTAAGTAAGTATGTAAGTATGTAAGTATGTAAGTATGTAAGTATGTAAGTATGTATGTATGTATGTAAGTATGTAAGTATGTAAGTATGTAAGTATGTAAGTATGTAAGTATGTAAGTATGTAAGTATGTATGTATGTATGTAAGTATGTAAGTATGTATGTAAGTAAGTATGTAAGTATGTAAGTATGTAAGTATGTAAGTATGTAAGTATGTAAGTATGTATGTACGTACGTACGTACGTACGTACGTACGTATGTATGTGTGTGTGTATATGTATGTGTATGTGTATGTGTATATGTATGTGTATGTGTATATGTATATGTATGTGTGTGTATATCTATGTATATATAATATATTATTCAATCATCCCTTCTTTCGTTATTACATCTGACCGAAACCCTGCCTAAATCAGAGATGTCAGGATTAAAGAAAAGGCTCGACATGATTCCAAACAAGAAAAGCGAGTGGAGTTCAGGTGAAGGCTTGTATCAAGGTAACCAGACAATACTCTTTCGATTGCAACTGCCATGGTCTGTCATGCCACTGCTTCCTGAAAGAGATGCTGCACAACCATCCTCAAAGCTCTCAAATCAAAGGTTTTGATGTCCAATTAAAGCACACGGAAAGAGTTTCTTCTTGCAACATCCTGAGGATGCCAGTACAGCAAGGGCAGGACATCAACTGCCAACGTGACGTGAAACCATGCAAGAGAGGCATTGTCATTCTGTCATGCGAGTGTCATGCTTCCTTTGGATGACAAGACCGCTGAAATCAAAGATGTGAAAACGGAAGAGCCACGGCATGACATCGCAAAAAAAATGCGTAGATTCGCAGTGAAACGTTTATCAACAGATTCACAACTGGGTCACTTGTGAGCCAGGCATGATATCTTTCAACTGTGTGGCTGAGTAGCTTTGGCTTCAGCAACACTCAACATGCCACGTTTCCTGGTGCTTTTCGGCTATGCAAGGAGAAACACAAAGGGTTTCCAAAGATTGAGAAGTATCACTGATATCAACTGATATCTATCACCGTGGCACGGTGAACGCGGGAAAGGTGGCACGGTGCGGATCTAGACCTTGAGCTCCTGAAAATGGCAGTCTCAAAGTCCAAATGCAGAAAGAAAACCAATTTAGATCAAATGACCAAATGCTATTTAGACCAACTAATTTAGGCTTAAACTAATTTAACTATTAGACCAACTATTAGACCAATTTGACCCAAATGGCAGATTTACGCAGATTCGAACGTATTTAAATCATTTTAGATCTAAACCTGGCCCCAAATCTTCCCGCCATGCCGCGCATGTCTCCTCGGCCACGTCCATGATTTGTCATGACGTGGCTACTCACGGCCTAGGGATCCAGCAACAGCATGAGGTTCCGACAGGTTCCAAGACGACACCGGTCACATCATGTCACATCTAACGTCACAGTTTTTGAGCCCCGGACGGTCGTCAAGTAACCTGGGATGTTTTGGGACCAACATGGACCAACTGTGCTGATCTCAGCCTGTGTGTGGCACTGTAGCACTGGAGCACTGGAGCACTGCACTGAGTCTGCTGCTGGGCGGATTGATTGTAACATCGATTACAAAGTCCAGGTCGTACAGGTCCAACTGACAACGTGCGTTGCGCAGTGCGCAGTGCAACGCAGCGCCACCGTGACATGGACAACACGGCAACACGACAGGCTTCGTGTCGCCAAGTGACGTGTCATCAAATATGCACCCAGCGGGCAGAGTGCAAACAGAATTGAAGCCATCCTGGTGACACGCAACTGACGCGACTGATGCAACTGTCATATAGGTTCCATCTAGCATTGCAACGTATTTGGTTGCAATATGTTGAAACATGATATGTGACACTTGAATGAAATTGACTCTTGAAATCTCTAGAAATCTGTGGATCGAAGAAATCATCTTGCAGTCAGTGACAAAGTACTTTCTGCCAGCAAGTAATCCAACAGGATGTACAGTTTCTCAACTCTTCAACAAGCAGGTCAGACAAGAAACGTAACAGTGAAGCACATGGCGCCAAGCTTGGCAAAAATGGTGAGGGTACAGAAGACCAAGAACAGCGAAGATCCTGCGGAGAAGAACTCTATGGATGACGTACGCGATGACATGTCCCTGGAACTCGAGTGGAACTCCATGGATTTCGCAAAACAACACAGTGAACATCAGTGAACACAGTGAACTGCAAACTTCAAACACTGTCGGACCAGCAAACCATGAAAAGCTAGGGACTTGCCAATTCTCCCCGCAAGTTGAATCCAAACGAGCTCGAAACCTCTGACTGTCACCATTCAAATTCAGTGTGTTCCCAGTCTCCCAGTCTCCCAGTCCTGCTGTTGTGATGGCACTTCCAACTGTGGCACCTCCCATGGTCTTCAGGGCGAAACTCATCCGTTGGAGTCGCAGAGAAGCCTTTTCTCGGCCTGCTCCTGGCAGAGATTCCAGATCTGGAAGACTAGACTTTGAGGCGGCAGATCGAAAGCGGAAAGCAATGCATCCCTGTGTTGGCCTGTTGGCCTGGCCACTCGTTTATCTCATTTTTATCTCAGTTCGTCTCAGCATTTCGGTCCTAAGTCTGTTTGGTCATCCTCAGTCAGAGCATCGTTGCTTCCATATTTGTAGACCTCAAGGCGTCGCGGAGACGGCACCGCAACACGGTGCCAGCTGCCAAGGCCGTCCCCTTGCCCTACATGTGTGGTGGAACACCTCGCTTCAAAGAGAAAAGGAGGATTCAACGGATTCAGCGGACAATGAAGACAACAACTTGATACAAATCATTAAATAAATCATTAAATAAATCATTAAATAAATCATTAAATAAATCATTAAATAAATCATTAAAATGATACATTAAATTGATACATATTGAATCATATTGATACTCTCCAGGCCACCATATGCAAGGAGTAGTCCACTGCATAGCCTGACGTCTCAGGATCAGTTCTCATGTTGGAACGACATGTTCTCGACATGTGTAAAAACATATGTAAAAACAGGACACGGAGTTTCGGCGGCCTATGAAGTAGATGAATGCGATGACTTCAATGAGGCCAACTTCCCAGCCCATCACCACTGTGATGAAGAAGGACAAGACGATGATGACCATCACAGTAGACACAACCACCACCACTGAGAGGATACAACTGTGCGTGAAGATCAGCATACAAGCCTCAAATTCTCAGCTAAGGACTTGCACCTTTGCGAAACACCAGTGGAAGTGGAGCTGGTTTCATGGACGTGTTCACAAAGGTCAACGCTGTTGGTGGGCTGTTTAGACGGCTACAACATATTACAATGTTAATTGCAGGGACTTCACCAATATCTCACTTTCGCACGGTGTATCGTGATTGATCTGTTCAATGCCTTTCATGTGCCTTTCATGTGCCATGCTCCTGTCAAGTGGGTCAACCATGAAGAACACACATATATATATATCTTCAATAGTCCTCAATGTCTTGCTGCATGTTTCCATCATGTTTGATCATGTTTGATCCACCACAACAGCGCCGGTCTGTCTCAGTCGACCGGTGCCAAGATGCAAGTGCTAAGACACAAAGAATCGCCAGACTGGACGCTGTACTGGTGATCAGCCTGGCGCCAAGTTGTTGGCGCCAGTTTGGAATCGATCGGATAGTTGAATAATTGCTATTATTTAACAGTTTGCAATGAAGGATCACCAGCTCAAACTATGGCAAATCAATGCAAATCATCTAAGGGACCATTTTCAATGGCTAAGTACAATTCCCGGATGGTAAATCATGTTAGATTCTGTTAGATCATTTTGGCCATAACTGCCATACCTCATTGTAAATATCGTGGGATGAGTCCTGGAACCAGCCTGCTGGCAGATTCTACGGCGACCCATTCATCTGATACCTCAGACCCGACAAGTGCTGACGACATGTTTTTTTCGCTGCCAAAAATGGGAAGTACCTCCCGGCCTCCCTTTAAAAAGACCAGAGAATCTGATGAGAATCTGCAAGATTTCATCCAATATTCAACAGAGAATGGAAATTCCCCATTTTCATCCCATTTCATCCCATTTCCCCCCCCAAAAAAAAACGGGACTTCCCATTTCTAAGACCTGCACAAGAAAATATGGGCTCGCGGTGTCTGGCTTCTTCCAATTCCTGCCATATTTGTCCCACTTCTCCTTGAGGTCAAGCACCTGCAAGAAACTGAGGTCCAGCATGGTGAACCCTTAAAACAACGGGGATTGATGTGAATAACCCTTATTGAATAACCCATTCATATGGTATTATATATTACTATATGAAGCCTATATGATATCATAGGTTTTAATCTATGTTTATTTTTGGAGATTCCATGGGCGTTTTTAGTAGGCAACTGAATCCTTCACCCAAACTCCCAGCAGTTTACATCGTGCATCGCTGCTGGGAAAACCTAGCAACACATAGCAACACCATGCAACACCTATTTTCCTCCAAGACTTGGGGTTGCCACGACTCTGGGTTGCCACTGGCTTCGAAGCCTCCTCATTCGAGGCATCTCTTGATATCCCAAGTTCGAAAGAGACGTACATTCCTGCACCAAGCAAACAGGTAGACTCAAACACATCCCCAACGTCACACACACAGACACACACACACACACTTACATACACACACACCGTCCTTTGACCACATCTTCTTCCAGCCAAATATATTTGGTTCCCCTTGTTCCTTTTGTCGAAGTATCCACCTCAAGTCAGCTCTATTCAATTGCTTTTTTGATGAAAACAAAGAAGCGAAACTCCAGCATTGTCAAATCTTGCTGAGACACGTATAGTTTGGAGACAACTGCCCAATCCACAGCTTTCACCGGGAAGCGCCCCTGATATATCTTCGAAAACTCGCCTCAGAAAATCCATGAAACGCCATCAATCTCATCAACAGATCAACGGTGTTTTTGCACCAAATCAATGCGAAGTGGCGGAAGTCCTCGAACCAACACCATTTCCTGGCACATGAATCGTTGTCACCACGGCTGTTTTTTCTCGACAGCAGAAATTGCACAGCCCACCTTGTGACCATGAGGTGCAAGGGAATTTCGCTGCAAAATTGATACCTGACATTATGGCCACCCAGAAACCAAGAGAAAACAACTCGGGTGCAACTTGGGGACTGGATATATCTTGACTATGTCCTCATAAACTTTACAAATAGGTGTGTGTGTGTGTGTCATTATGTATATAGACACACATATTTATATATACCATCTGGTTATTTAACATAGCCATGGAAAATCCCTTATAAATGGAGGGTTTTAATGGGAAAATCATCTATAAATGGGCCATTTTCCATGGCTATGTTAAATAACCAGAGGGTAATATATATATATATATATTCTGATCATATTTCTTAACTGGATTGGTAGGAATCACCTCAGCCCCCCAAGCACTGTTTCTCCGTTTCCGTCGGAGCACATGGCCCGTTGGGCCCAGGGGTCCGAAAGATCGAATCCAGGGTTGTAGGACCAGGTATCTTCCGGAGGCCTCAGCAACTGGGAAAAAATGATGGGTATATGTTCAATTTTAAAAGAAATGGACATAGATGGATATATATATGGTATATGATGGGTATGATGTTCTATAAATGCGAAACTCATCTATATAATGATTTCATGGACTTTACCCTCGAGCAAATTAACAGTTCGACCCTGAAAATAGTCCTTTTTTAGTGGAAAGTGATCTTCCACCCCCCAATTCATGGCAGGGTCGAACTGTTAATTTTGGGGAGTGTATTGTTTCCAAAGCGCAGGCCGGTCAGGCTGAGCGCAGAATCCAGCGGAAGTGTACAGAAATGCAAAAACTTTGCTAGAAGGTGAAATACCGTGGATATACAACACAATATCGGAATATGATAGGCATATGATGGGTATGTACTGCGGACAATATTGGGATATACAACATAATATGGAACACAATTCATAATGGCATAATGGTATATATCCCATAATGACAAATATAACGGCATATATATATATATGTATATATATATATATGTATATATGTATATGTATATATGTATATGTATATATGTATGTATATATATATATATGTATATATAATATATATATGTATATATATGTATATATATATATCATCCAGGGAGTCCGCGAAATGACAGGACATAATATCCAGACATAGTGCGACATGATGCGGACTAAACCAACCACATGGGGATATGGGTCGGTCAGACACTGGATACCAAAGAACCCAACCTAATTTGTCTATGAGATTATCGGGTTAAACGGTCAAACCATCCATTTTTGGGGTTTGATCATTTGGACCCATACCAATATGGCATACCGCTGACAATTCTGTGGGGTTGTCCAGAACTGGGTGTTTTTCTTACTTTTGACGGTACACCCACAAATTGGCAATGGATTTGGGGTATCCATTTTTTTGATCTCCAGAGTTAAGTATAGTTAAGTGCTATAAGTTAAACAATACTGAAACTGACCAATCTTATGGGTCCGTTGATACCTTCTTAGTACTGTGAAAGATAGAACAGCCATTTCCTACCGCACGGGATCATAGGGTTTTTTCATTCAGCGGATTCCGGATCACATGGATCACATCCACAGAAAGATTCCAGATGGCCTTGAGTATACCCTCTGGTAAACTAACATAACTATGGAAAATCACCATTTTTAATGTGAAAATCAACTATTTCTATGGCCATGTTCAATAGCTATGTTAAATTACCAGAGGGTACTACAGCATTGAGCCATTGATCCATATTGATCCGCCAAGGCGCCTTTCCCCAAGCAACATCACTGTAGTCTCCGGATAGATGCCAAAAACTGCACGGACCTGGCGCTTGACATCCATTGATATCCCTTAAATCCACCAATGTTTTAAGGGACGTCTTGGGGATGTCAGGAAATAAACGAGCCATGGGAATAAGTTGATATGGATTAATGATGATTAATGATCATGCATATTGCGTATACACATGCGAAGAGAGACATAGAGAGAGAGAGAGAACGTAATCATTAGTACACGCAACACGGAATCTGCCCCAGATGTGTCAACCTCTTGGAAATCAGGCTGTTTTAATCAGAGAGATATATCGTTGTATTCAACAATGCTCTTTCAAGTTTGGGCCTACCCAAATCCGCACAACTAAATTTCAACACACCACTCTGATTTCTGGGGCCGATCAGAACGCCACATGTTCCTCACATACCCAACCAAAAAACAAAAAAAAACATTATCTCCATATCTGTCGTGATTCCCTTCATTTGTATTCCCTAGTTCTATTCAACCAACTCCAGGAGATCTCAAGCAATATCTGCAGCCTAAATCAACTTAAAAGTTTGGACAGCTCTCCCCATTGATTTATAACATCATGAATATCTTTATGTGAGGGTCAAAAATGAGGTCCTCAGACCCCGATTGTTTGACCTATACAGCCTATACAGTTATATAACATCTTGTCGGTGGTATGTTGGGATTTTTTGCCGTTGAACATCCCCAGGTCATCCCCATGTGTGCATAGAAACAGAGCCATAATCATATAGAGATGTATCCTCTATATACATCTCATCCATACATGTGTACACAACTACATACATACATATATATATACACACCTATATTATCAAAAAATATACGTGTATCATAGTATAAGATTATAATTTCTTATACATATACAATCATATACATATATGGAGCCATATATGATAATTAGTATACATATTATGACTATTAGTTCGTTAATATGTTTTAATCATATTTAATATGAGTGAACACTATTAAGATTCACACATATTGACACTAAATACCCTCTGGTCATTTAACATAGCTATTGAAAATGGTGATTTATGGTGGATTTATCCATCAAATCAAAAATCGTGATTTTCCATAGTTATGCTAGTTTACCAGAGAGTACACCATTAAATTAGATCACCGTTAAACCACCGTAAAATCACCATAAAATCACAAAATTAAAACACAAATTAACATTAGGAAAATCTTGGGCCTGCAAACAAGATGACTACAATCAATCTTCAACAACCCTCAGAGTTTACTAATAAGATTTTCATAAACCACCATAGAATCACCATTAAACCACCATTAAACATCACCATTAAAAATCACTAAGCCACTAAATATCTGTGATATCTGTGATCATGGTATGATCATTCCTGTCCCACCTTGGTCCGTTTGGAGATTGGCACTGTGGACGAGGTCAACATCCCAGTGGTGCGAGTGGTGGTCACGGTGGTCGCCTGGTGCGGGAACATGTGGAAAAATTGGATAAACATCTATTATAAAACGGGATAAACCATGGGATAAACACATGAAAAATCCAATTCAAATTATTCAAATTCCAGAAAAGGAAGCCGGTTGGAGAAGTGAAGAAACTTGAGGCCATAGTATGCCATAGTACCATGCCATTCCAACATATTCCAACCATGTCATCATGCCCCTTTGCACTGGCCTGGAGTCGACGCAAAGCTGGTAGATCCAAAGTGGAAGTCCCATCCCAGGTGTCCAAAATACACTGCAGTGTTCCACCGTTTCCACAGAAGCAGATTTCATCCCAGCCACAACTGGAGGTCTCTTGTCTGGTGAAGCCCACTGAGATCTCCATGGTGTTGCTTAAGGATGTCTCGCCCGTGTCCCAGACTTGCTGTAGTAGTTGCGGCTTTGTCCTTGCCCCCTCGATCATATCTCTCCGAGCCTCTACGCTCAGGTCCAGCGACGCGGCGTCTGGCCAAGCGAACAAATGATTCACCACATGCAGAGACAACTGAAGATCTGTCAGGGAGGATGGACCTACAAAGCGAACTCGAACTGGAGCTGCTGATCCGCTACATCCCGTCGTCATGCGACGCTTGCAGGTGCACGTGCCATTTCCTTCCCAAGTAGGTTCATCGGAGACATACCGTGCTTCGCACCATTGCATCACACAGCTAGTTGCAGTGGATGCAAAGTCAGCTCCCTGACAAACCAACACCTCTCTTGGTGGGTCCTGTCGGGATGTGGTGAATGCGATTGACACTGGCTCGAACTGTGCTAAGACTTCCACACCGGTGTTCTGATTATGCTGGTCCGGGAATACATCTGGCATCCCTGTGCCCACAGTGAGAGCTGGTAAAGCCAAGGATACACAGATCACCATGAAAACTATGGTCAGGAACAAGATGCGGTAGCGAATGCGATACAACACCAGAGCCCAGCTTCCAAAGCATGCCGATTTGGAGCCTGCCAAGCGTCGGCTGGACAGTCGAACTCTCCTGCACCAAATGTAGTCGATGACAATGGTCGGGACGTAGATGAAGGTCAGCGAAAGCCAAGTGATCAGAACACAAATTCCCATGAAGAAACCGAATTGCCGAAGAGCCCGAATTACGGAGGCCATGTTGCAAAGAAAGGACAAGGCAGTCGTGGAAGTAGTGGCCAAGGAAGCTTTCACCGCTCGCTGGTAGGTCCATGCCAAACGCTTGGGAATTTGCTCCGCATGCCCTTCGGACTGCGTCCAAGCATCATAGTAGACAAACATCACATCTGCACCAAAGCCTATGGCAAGGAACACTGCCAAAAAGTTGGCAAAGTTCACTGTCGAGTTGCCGAGGATAGCGCCACAAATGATCCAGGTAATTGGCACTGAAAGCATGGCCAACAAAGGCCCTACAACTGCCAAAAGAAGACTTCGAGTGTGAGCCAACATGTATGCAAGGATGAAGACTGCAGAGCCAATGGCCAAAGGCACATCGTTGATCACAGCCATGTACACTTCAAAATCTCTGAAGCCAGTTCCATCGAACCACACATGCATGTCATCCTTAAAACTTGTCACCATATCACTAGAACCGAGGGCAGGCACCAGGACATCTGTGAAGAAAGCTTCCCACTTGCTATCCACAACTTTGGATGCGGCAACTCGATCCTCCACCTTGTCCCTGGCCGTTCCCACCACAAATCTAAAGCGAAACAGGCTTCGCAAGACCTGAGCTCCCTCTTCAACATCTGGATCATATCCAGTTGGCAAGAACAAATCGGCCAAGTTGTGCTCTTTGGCGACCAAATAAGCTGTTCGGAGTGGGACTGGATCAAATCCCATCCCATCAAGGGTCATAGAATTGGGAACTATGTTCCTGAGCTCGACAGGCAACATCAAACATCATCAAACATCAAATATCATCAGATATCATCAAATAGCATCAATTAGCATCAAATATCATCAGATATCATCAAATAGCATCAATTAGCATCAAATATCATCAATTATCATCAAATAGCATCAACTAGCATCAAATATCATCAGATATCATCAAATATCACAATAAGCAACCTCCCCCCCCCCAAACCCCCCTCCCCTTTAAGATAACCCTGAAATTAGAACCAATCGCATGTGGGAAATAATTAAGGCCTTAATAAGGCCTTAATAAGGCCTTAATAAGGCCTTAATAAGGCCTTATTTTTTTTCCCAAATTAAGCCCAAAATAAGGAGTAATCGACAAAAGATGCAAAAAAAAAAACCTTGAATTAGGCTTATTTTTTACGTTGGTTTTGAAGGATGTTGTCTTGCTGCGACGGCTAATGCTCAGACACCAGTGACGCCAGTGGGAAACCAAAAAGCGAATACAACAGCAATGGAAAAGAAGAACAATACCACATCTTATTAGCTGTTATTCAATTCATTTCATGTGAGTTTTTTCTGCTTTAGTCCGATTGGACAGCGCTGGGCGCCATGGATGTGGATGAGGGCGATCATGGTGAGATTGGTCTTGCTGCAGTGGTTCGATTGACCAAGTACCTCATACCGGGTAACCCGAGCATTGGGGTAACAGAACTCCAAAGACAGGATGTTCAGGGTCAATGGAACGTGTGCGAGCTGTTGAAAAATCTGTTCGCTACTCAGGATGAGGAGGCAATTTTCGAGCATTACCACACGAAAAAAGAAGGAGTAAACGAATTCCATCGGTTGTTATGGCCCGGGTTTCCAATTCCATTTATTTTGAAAACAAAACACGAAAAGAAAGAGGAAGCTGATGAAGAGCAGCTGGTGTACCTCAAGAAAAAGACTGTGCATACTAGTGTAGCTTTTGCTTGGGTCTTGTGGGGAATGTCCTACCCTAGAAGGGACCCTTCTCTCCGACGCAAAAGTTGGGATTTCTTCGTCCGCCTGTTCGAACATGCAGTGGCAGAGGCTGGGAGGCTGAGTTTCCGAGTCAAGTGCGTGGGTCTGCGGGGAGCTTTAGACAAGATGATCGCTATCAACATTCACCAGACTACTGTCCAAGGAAGAATTCTGTGGACTGCCGCAGTGGAAAGGTTACTTTCTTACCAGTGGAATGTGTGCAGACTGGATGAAAACAATTTCATTTCTTCAACGCTTCAAAGACCAAACGTTTTGGACGTTATTTACTTTGGCCTGAACCCTGCCAATGGCAATCCTGGGAAACTTGTGCAATCATTGGCGCACACACTGATGGCACAATTTGCTGCTTGGGTGGATGAACACTTACCAGTGGTTGCTCTAGAAGCAGAGGGGTTTCAAGAAGCAAGACAGAAAAATCGGGTTGCAAAGCAAGATGCATTGACGCATGCAATGTGGAAAGCCATAAACTGGTATCTACATGAGAATGATTTTTGGCTTTTTTGAGAATTGATTTTTCAGAGTTTTAACTCTATTATCAACATGTAGGTGTTCAATCTAATCTTAGAGTTGTTTAGATTTGTGTTGTGTACTACTATGTGTATATTTTTGTAAGGGCCCTCCGTCATCTCGGCAAGGAAGACAACGGGGTGACTATCAGACAGGCTTTGGACAGGTTCCAGCTGCAGCATGTTGAAGTATCCCGTTTTGCGTCAAGATTGGCAGCAACTAGCCTTATGAATATTATTTTTGATTTTCACTATGAAACCATCACAAAATCATAGTCATTTGTAAAACACTGGTGTTTAACTGAGACTTATCCCCAATTCAATAGGCAAGGGTTTGATAACCTATGATGACACAGTTGGAACCAGGCAAATTTGAATAATATATCCCACGGTGCCTAGGAAGTTTACTGGGCCCGGGCGCGGGCAGAGATGTCAAAGTGCAAGGTCTTTCAGGTCGCACGCTCAGTGACAGACAGTGGTTGCTAGTTCCTAGACTCAACCCGAGAATCAGAAATATCGGAATGACATGGAACAATCAACCGCTGAGTTTTTTCAACGTACAATAATTTACTTCCCAACCCTCTACCGTCCTACACCTTCGCATGTAGAATGACTGTTATGCGCTTGCCCAGGTCTACATAGATGGAAGTTCGATTGCGTCAAAGCCGACGGAACTTTGCTATTTGTGGTCGCCCAACATCCTAAAGGGATGTTTTGCACCTCCATGCGTGTGGAGCCTCAAGTGGGTTTCTGTGGCCCAAAATTCAAAAATACGTAAGCACAAAAACATGTCTCCAAACAGGGGTGACAAAATGTTGCGAGTATCACAGCAAGAATGAAGAATCAACAGTACCGCTGGCCGCCAGACGCCGTTTTTTCAGAAGATCCGGTGGCACTACAGAAAAATACAAACTAGCAAAACCGACAAACACAAATCAAACTTTTGTTTTAACAATTTTCAAATGTGAATTATTCAAAGACATTTCAACCATTTACAAAAGACATTAAAATTTGTCAATGTTTGTTAGGTTAAACAGTGTTTTTTCTTTGGGCAAAGTAGGATCAGCTTCCAACTTTGCCCCAAGCACATGGCGACTGGGGACATCGATGTGGACAACTTGACGACGTACACTGCCAGTTACTACAGCAGTTCGGATGTTCCTACTCAAATATCTTCAGTTTCTTCAGCTGACACTTGCCACATTCGCATCTTTCTTTTTTGAAAGGAAGAATGTGTATAATTAGGAAACTTTGCCTTCCAAAAGTTGGGGAAAACACCTGCATGCATTCAGTTCCAGATTCAAAACTACCAAAAAACAGCAGGTGGTAATTTATTACAGGGGGTAATTTTCCGTTTGCATGGGGCAATGCAGCACCTGCCCCGCTAGGACCTACCACGCGACAAGACCATGCTGGAACGGGCTGCCCGAGCTATTCAAATCGCATGGGGTACAATTCTAGACATCATTCCCAAAGCGCAATTGGAGGAGGGGTTCTATTGTCGATGGGCCCAAGTGATTTTAGCCAGGAACATCCTAATCTTATATACATCAAGCGGTATTGTTTCAAAAGATGTTCAAAATTCAATTTCAAAAGGGGGCAGGGAATTCGACATTTGTGCAAGAAGATGGTTTCCTAGGGAACAAAGAGCTATAATATAATTTGTTTCAAGGGGAAAGGTAGGCAATTAATAGCCCCCTGAAAATTTATCAATCGAAAAATAAACAACCAATTAATAAATAAATAACCAAATTTTCAGGGGGCATGCAAGCGGAGAGGAGTCGATGCTGGCCACCGCGCGCCGCAGCTCGAGTAGCTGCACCGGCGCATTTACAGCAGAGATGGCCCTGGCTACCTTGGAGCGGACAGTGAACAGTTCACATGCACTTTCTCGCCCTATGTCCATTAAACCAATCAGCTGCCATGAGCCTTTGCAATTGGCACAATTATTAATACATTTTGGTGGTGATGTATTTTTTTTTATTGGGGATTGTGCAATGTCCCGTTCATAGAACTTTGGCCATGGGAAACGCAATTGCTTAATTCAATATAATTTCCTATGTTTAGGTTCACCATATATTGTCATCATTGAGGAATGGAATGCCCCGTGTACCCAATTGATTGTCGACAATTTCCAGTGGTACAAGCAGTGCACAGGGACTGCATGCCATACGCCATGCATTTTTGGCAACCTCGAAGATTGTATCCCAGAGGATACCTATGACCCGGAGGATCCCTTCTTTTTGAAATTCTACAAAGTGGATTCAGCTGATTTCTACAAAACACAGCACTGCAAAACACACAAAGGGAGTGTCTCCTATTTCCCGAACACCAGGGCGAGAAAAGCGATCTAGAAACAGCAGGGTTACCCTGTTGGGACATGTCCCTCGCCGGGAAGAGGTTGCAAGAGAATGGCCGTACAGTGGGGACATTCTTGTGCCATGCAAAACGGCACATTGAGTTGATGACCCCTATCATCATCGTGGAGAACACCAAGGACAGGATAATAATAGGAACCAACCAGACTATTTTGATTGTTTGTTTTTAAATGCATTAGCAAGTAAGTAACCCTGTAACTTTGGTTGAAAAACCCTGTCAGAAACTGCGGATTCAGCTCATCAAGCTTCTCTACGGAGAGCACTACCGGATCTATCTTATTTATGTAGATACCCATGAAGTTGGACATGCAGGGGCTTGTCGTGAGCGGGTTTACGTCATCCTGGCCCACAAAACTCGAACTTCCATTCTTCACGACCCCAGGTTGTTGTATGAAGCCCTTGTGTCCAAGATCAAGAAGTATGCTTTCACCAAGCCTTCTGATTACTTTGTGGCAGACCCACTGGATATTCAGATGGCCGCAAGTGATCTTGCCAACACGCGCTCCAAGTCATGCAGAGTTGCCCCTAAACCAAAAGTACGATACTGATGTTTTCAGTTATCCAAGCTTAGGGAATGAACCATTTCCTTTTTAGTGGTTTCTCTCAATGTTTGAGGTAATTAAAGTATCCATCCCCAATTCAAAAGAGGGATTCTTGAAATCCAGCCGCTCGCCAAGGCAAGCCAGCCAAACTTCTACAAGCTGTTGACCGCACGCGAGAAGAAGGTGATCAAGGACCTGAACAAGGAGTACAGGAAAAGGTGGAAGAGGAACCCCCAACAAGACAAAAATCTGATTTATTATTTGGGGGATAATGCCTCCAGGAAATGTTGGAGCGGAACATCAGGAAAAATTCCCACCCTGCGTATGGCAGGTGGATTGATGTGGAATGTTTCGAAATCTCGAATCATGACAGGGAAAGAAAAACTCCTTTCTCTGGGGTTCCCAGTGAACCTGTCTACAGCTGAATCTATGAAGGTCCCCCTCTTACCGTGTAAAGACGTGAAGAGGTGTGGGAGTATTGCGGGAAACGCAATGAACTGGAACTCAATCGCTGTGGTTCAGCTTGTGGCCCTGGTTTCTTTTAAGTTGAACACCGCCTAGTTCACT